CCACGATAGAAGCCAGGGAAGCAACAAGGAGCCGGGGTAGTCCTCCTGGGAGACAGGATGTGGCTTGAGCCCCAGTGGAGATGGCGGGGTGGAGCCAGCAGGGTTCCCGACTGAGTGGACGTGGGATGAGGGAAAGAGGGACGTTGTGGTCAGCAGAATCATGCCTGCCCCAAAGATGCCCATCCTAACCCTGCCGCCCGTGACAATGTGACCTCCGCTGCAAAGGGAACTGTGCAGGTGTGAAGGTTAAGGACCCTGAGACTGGGAGCTGGCCCTGGACTGTCCGGTGGACCCAGCGTCATCACCAGGGTGCTTGTAAGTGGAGGAAGAGGCATGGGAGCCGAGCAGACGTGAGAACAGAAGCAGAGGTTGGAGCAATATGCTGTTGGCGTGAGACGGAGGAGGAGCCACGAGCTGAGGAGCACGGGCGACCTCCGGCAGCCAGAAAGGGCGAAGGTTCTTCCCGGAGCCTCCAGCAGAACCCAGCCCCGCTGCCACCTCGACTGCAGCCCGGTGAGACTGGGTCCGATTTCCAACCTCCAGAACTGTAAGATCATAAATGTGTTGTTTAAGCCACTGCAACTGTGATATTTGTCACAGCAGGCATAAGAAGCTGTACAGGGGTCAGCGATGGCCTGCTGACCTCCAAGCTCACACTGAAGCCTCCTGGAATGCTGTGGGTTGTGAGCCAAGGTGAGACGGCAACATGGAGATGAGAGACGCGTCCACCCTGCAAGACCCAGTGCCATCGCCATCTCAGGGAAGGTTCCCCAGCTGAAAACAGAGAAAGTGGCTGGTGTGGCCCGGAACGCCCAATGTCAAAGAACTGGTACCCAAGCCATCAGTCAGCCCCTCACCCGCCTCGCAGACGGCACCTTGGACCCAGCAAGATGTCCCTTGCCACACTGAGGCTGCCCATAGGCATCGCCTTCCTTTTCGCAGCTCTGCGTGACATTTGCCAGCTTGGTTTGGTTCTGGGGCTGGATTAGAGCTGCCAGCCTAGGAGCCCCCCTAGTTTTGTGTCTGCACTATTTCCATAACATTGGAATAAAAGGAATTTTGGCTGGGCGCCATGGCTCCCAGCACTTTGGGAGGCCAAAGCGGGTGGATCACCTGAGGTTGGGAGTTTGAGGCCAGGCTGACCAACATGGAGAAACCCTGTCTCTACTAAAAGTACAAAATTAGCTGGGTATGGTGGTGGGCGCCTGTAATCACAGCTACTCGGGAGGCTGAGGCAGGAGAATCTCTTGAACTCTGGAGGTGGAGGCTGCAGTGAGCTGAGATCACTCCATCACTCACTGCACTCCAGTCTCGGCAACAGAAGGGAAACTCCATCTCAAAAAAAAAAAAGGTGGGGGGAATTTTAACCAACACTAGGGACCATGGGAATCTTTTCAAAGAATCTGCACCGATCACCCCGAGGAACACTGCTGTTGGTGATGAAATCCGTTGAGGATGTGACGCAGACGTGGTGCATGCCGGTCTCGTTTTCTTCTTTTTAAATCAAGGATTAGACAAATTCTTAGAGCGGTTTTAGGTTCACTGCAAAATTGAACAGAAAGCGCAGAGTTCCCATATCCCACCTTCCCACACACACACAGCTTCCTCTGTGACTGACATCTTGCATCTTGTGGTATATTTGTTACCATTGAGGAAGCAATATTGATCCATGATTATAAACATATAATGACACCATTACAGTATCACGCAGAAAAGCTTCACTGCCCCCAAAGTCCTCCGTGCTCCCTCTCCTCATCCCTTGCCTCCCCCAACCCCTGGCAACCACTGATCCTTTCCTGTCTCCATAGTTTTGCCTTTTCCGTGTGTTGTAGAGTTGGAATCATACAGCGTGTAGCCTTTTCAGGTCTACTTCTTCCACTGAGTAACGTGCAGCTAATTGCTCTTCATGTCCTCCCGAGACTTAAGAGTTCATTCTTTTTAGCACTGAATAATAACATTCCGCTATCTGGACCTTCCACAGTTTATCACCCACTTCGTGATGGGCATCTGGGTTGCTTCCAAGTTTGGGCAGTTATGAAGAAGGTGGATTCAAGCATGCCGAAAACATGGCTCACACCCTGAGTCCGTGGCGCGTGGAGGGGGCGCTTCAACCATCAAAGGAAGTTTGGAAAGAGGTGGAGTTTGGTGGCTTTGGGGCCCCTGGGGCAGCAGGAGTCCAGAGGGTGGGAGAGCTTTCTGGAAGCTGAGCTGTCCAGCAGTGGGCGGACTGAGGTGGCCAGGACATCTCGAGAAGCCCTCCTCTGACATCTCGCTTCCCCCACCAGGTCTAAGCAGAGGCCAGGAAGACCTGACAGGGACATGTTCTGCTCTGCAAGAGTACTCGACACCGCTCTGTCCTGGGACTCTGGGCCTGGGCTGCTCCTCCCTAGGCAGAGGGCACTGCTCTCCTGCTGCCACTGTCACTTGCATGCCCTCACCCCAGGGGTAGCCCCCCGAGGGCAGGGCGTGAGAACCTTTGGTCCCCATCCCTGCTTCCCATCTCAGGACCTCCAGGTGTCCCCAGCCACACCTGAACCCACTGGCTTTGCCATCTGAACCCTGGTCTGTACAGGGAGAGGCAGGAGATGGCACAGATGGGCGTGGAGCAGAGCCACTGGCCCTACTGCAGGACCACCCCTCGGCGGCGTGATCAGTGCCCTTCTGAGCCAACTGTGCACAAAAACAGGAAGGACTGGGACAAGATCTTTCACCTTCCTCTGATTGTCATCATCCGATTGTTCTTCCCGTGGTGACGCCATCCGGCAGCCTCACCGATATTCCTCTCTGGTATGGCCGGGCCAGGCCCACCCCCCACAGAGGAGACAAGGGGGTGGAGAAGCCGGCCCCTCTGCAGGGCTCAGGTCCCAGCCCAGGCACAGCGCTGTGTGGTTGCCAGATGCACAGAAAGACCTCGACCACAACCTGCGCTTTCAGGGCAAACCCAGGGGGCTTTTTGTGGCTATGCCGAGGGCATGGAAACGACCCTCAAAATGCCTCTGACTTGCAGAAACAGGGGGGCAGCCCTGCCAGAGAGGCCCAAGTCCCGGGCTCGAGTGCCTGCCGCGTGACAGGGGGTCCCAGCGAGCAATGGCCCACTCAGGAAAATGTGGCGAGACCTGGGATTCAGGCTTTGACCGTTGCCCAGTATGATGAGGCTGGCAGGCTTGTGGACGAGACTGGCCACCGCAGTCGCTGTAATTCTGGAAGAGCTGCCTGGGGAGCAGTGTGGTTCTCCTGGCGTCCCCACCCCCAGCAGGAAAGCATGGACAGGAACCAGAGGGCTGGAACCCCTGGAGACCCGGTAGGGAAAGGCCACCCAACCCCTGGTGCTTCTGTGAAGATTTTCCAATGTATGAGTGTGGGAAACTGCCACAAACCCTGCGGCTGGGAGGAGTCACGCACCAGGATAGCAGGTCTTACGTGAGGACGGCGAGGACAAAAATGCCCAGGACGCCTGCCCAGAGCCTGGACATCTTTGTCTTTGGAAGAAGCTGCCCTCGCCTCACCAGCCCTCGATAGATACTCGCACACTCACACACACACCAGTGAGCAGGTGCACGCGCACACACACACACACACAGGGGCTGCTGGGAAGTGAGTGTGTCCTTGCTCCCTGTGGAATCTGTGAAGCCACCTGGGGCCAGCTGAGCCTGGCAGATCTTTCCCACCTGTGAAAGAGGCCTCTGAGGTCCTGGATGTTTAAAGTATAACTGGCCTGGGGTTGTGGCCCCCCCAGGATCTTCCCCAGGGCTTCACCGGCCGCACCCTCCGTGGCCTCCACGCATGTCCAGCATGAACACATGGCCAGAAGGGGAGGCTGGCTTGCCTGATCCCGAGGCCTAAACGTTCGCAAAAGAAACTGGGAACTCGAAGGGCATGGGTTCGAGTCCAGCTCCTGCACCTCTGTTCTCATCACTGAACCAGGCCTAATATCCCTGGTCCTAAGTACCTCCTGGGGATGGTGTGAGCTCCAGGAAGAAAAGAGGAGGCAGGGCTTCATAACAGGAGCTCCCGGGGCAGGCAGGGGCAGCTAGGATGACGATCCTGGTGGCAGACTTCGGCGGGTACGGGATGCCTTGCTCTCCCCCACGCCCAGGGCTTTAAACAATACGCAGCAAGCTCAGCTCGGCTCAGGAGGCCGTGACATCCCAAGCCCCTGCAGCATCAGCGGATGTTTTTCCTGACCAAGATTGGCTGGGAAGGGACAGCAGCATGCTGTCGGAGGGGGAGAAGGCGGGTTGATCCGGAACATTTCAGCGGCAAGAGACAGAATGCCAACTTAAACTGGTTACAGCCAAAAGGAGAGGGTTAATTGCTATAGAACAGCTTCGGGCACAGCTGGTTCCAGAGGTATCATTGGAACTTGGGGTCTCCATCCCTCCTTCTCTAGCTCTGCTTTCCCGTTTTGGTATCACTCACAGGCAGACTCACCCCTCTCTCATTTCCTTCTAGTCCAAGATGGGCATGGGGCAGAGCCACCCCGGTCCTGGGTGAACGCCTCGCCAGCTGCAGAACCAGCTTCCTGCAGCGTTATCAGTGACTTCCTGAGTTGACGGGCACCATGCAGCCAGAGATTCTCTACCTTGCTCTGAGGGTGGTTTGGGTGTTCTCTCTTTCCTCTCTTTTCTTTCTGCCCCCAAAAGAGACAGTTGCGGGGACAACTGAAGGGGATTGCTCCTGGCATCTGGAGGGCAGAGGCCAGAGATGCTGCTAAATACCCCCCGGGGCCCAGGACAGTCCCCACAGCAGAGAATTATCTGGCCGTGGCACAGGATAGAGAAATCCTGGGACAGTGGCTGTGGATGTCCAGGGGTGGTCATTCCTCCAGCCATGGGGGGCTTTTGGAGGTTGTCCTGAGGCTGCAATACAGGGGGCTGTCCTGAGGAGCAGGGTGGTCCCCACCTGGGCTGAGGACAGATCTTTGGGAGGCAGCAGCTGCCTGAGCTCTGGAGCAGGAAGCAGAGGTCCTGGCTCCAGTCCCCCTCATGCCCCCTCTGCTCAAATGAGTCACTCCCCCCTCGCCACCCCCATTTACTCATCTGAGGCAGGAGCTGACCTAGGAGCTGGGGAACCACTCACAGGCCTTGGGCGAAGGTCAGTGCCTGCATAGACCTGGCCAGCACCGCGTGCTTGAACTTGGCATCTCAGCCTCTCACCACGGGGACCGTGCGGCCAGGGAAAGTGCTGGCTTGCTTCCAGGTTGTTTTGGGTGTTTGCTGTTTCCTGTCTTCTCGTGACGCCCCCCCCCCGCCCCACCCCAGGTTCCCATTGAAATGTGGGCCAAAGGGAGAGCTACAGAGGCAGCCCCAGACCACAGCCTTACAGGGCCCTGCTCTGAGCAGCTGCCTGAGAGTCCCAGGCTGGGCGTACATTGTTCCATTTTTGGAATTCTTCAGGAGTGAGAGCAGCTTCGGCTGTCAACAGTGCTCTGTTCACAGAGGCCGGCCCGGCAAAGGAGAGAGGGCGAGCTATTGTCCAGGCTGGGCTGCGGCCGCAGGAATGTGCTGGAATGCCGGCCGCATGGCACAGCCCCAGAGCGGGGCCTTTGTGTGCAAACACCACCAGGCAGCAGGGCCACCCCATAAATAACGATGACCTTACCCACAGATATCAGGCTCTGTGGCAGGATGGGGTGGGGATGAGGGCCGGCCCCCCGAAGGGAGACCACAGGGGAGGCTCACCCTTCCCCACACAGAGCAGCAGCCTCTTGCTGGGGAATGCCAGCCAGAGTGGGGCTGGGGTGGATGCCTGCCCCTGAAAGATGGCTGCATTGACTGTCTGGGGCCAACTGATACCCCACAGTGCCTGAGACCCTGGCATCAGGACTCAGAACCTCAACCCAGGGGTCCCTGATGAAACTGCTGGTATAGGTATAGGCGGTTCAGGTATAGGTGCAGAGGGGCAGGTGTGGGCGTATGCAAGTGTGGGTACAGGGGGGAGGGGCAGGTGGGGCATATGCAAGTGTGGGCACAGGGAGGAGGGGCAGGTGGGGCGTACACAAGTGTGGGTACGGGGAGGGGGCAGGTGTGGGCGTATGCAAGAGTGGGTACACGGGGGAGGGGCAGGTGTGGGCGTACACAAGTGTGGGTACAGGGAGGAGGGGCAGGTGTGGGCGTATGCAAGTGTGGGTACAGGGGGAGGGGCAGGTGTGGGCGTATGCAAGTGTGGGTACAGGGAGAGGGGCAGGTGTGGGCGTATGCAAGTGCAGAGGATGGAGGTATAGGTATATGCAAGTGGGAGTATAGGTGGAGGGGTGCGGGTGCGGACGGAGGGGTGAGGGTGCAGGCGGAGGGGTGAGGGTGCGGGCGGAGGGGTGCGGGTGCGGGTGGAGGGGTGAGGGTGCGGGTGGAGGGGTGAGGGTGCGGGCGGAGAGGTGCGGGTACAGGCGGAAAAGTGCAGGCATAGGTATATGCAAGTGAGGGTGTAGGCGGAGGGGTGAAGGTGTGGGTGGAGGGGTGCAGGTGTGGGCGGAGGGGTGTGGGTGTGGGCGGAGGGATACGGGTGCAGGCGGAGGGGTGCGGGTGCAGGCGGAAGGGTGAGGGTGCGGGTGGAGGGGTGCGGGTGCGGGTGGAGGGGTGTGGGTGCGGGCGGAGGGGTGAGGGTGTGCGTGGAGGGGTGCAGGCATAGGTATATGCAAGTGAGGGTGTAGGCGGAGCGGTGCAGGTGTAAGCATCCACAAATGTGGGTGTATGCAGAGGACAGCAAGCTCTAGCCATGTCCTCTGGGGGATAAGGCCCACTCCACCTCCTCCAGGCATGTCACCTCTGTGAGCTGCTGCACCTCCTTCCTCAGTAGAAAGAGGACGACAGGGACAAGTCATGCAGACGCCACGTGCCAATGACAGGTGTGATAAGAAGCGTGTTTTCTCTCTGTGGTCTTCCTCCCCAACCCTGTAACCCAGTCCAACTGGAGATCCACCAAGGGGCATCCTGTGAAATCCTCAAAACCAGCCCTCAAAACTGGCCGAGATGTCACAAGCAAACAAAGATGGAGAAGCCGCCGCAGCCCAGGGCGTCTCAGGAAATGGGGCAACCCAGTGTCACGTGGGCCCCTGGATGGGGGTCTGGGACAGAAAAGGGTATTGTGGGAAACTCAAATAAACTCCAGTCCTTAATTAACAAGAATGCATTGACATGGGTTTGTTAACTGTGACAAGCACATCCTACGGATACTAGATGTTCACAGTAGGGGAAGCTGGGTAGGGAGCACGTGGGAGCTCGCGCTGTGTCCGTACCTCCTCTGTGGAGCTGCAGCTGTTGTAAAGTGGAGGGTGTGGAAAGTCGAATGGGACACGCAGCAGGCGCCCCGCCAGCGGCAGCCGTGACGATGGGACCCGCCACGCCTTTCATTCTGTCTACTCAGAGGAGCCTCCGTGCTGTAACCCACACAGTGGTTGGACCTGTGCGGACTTCACCGTGAGGAGTAAGTGCAAACAGGAGGCGGGGTGCACTGGAGGGACCTGCAGAGCTGGGCCAGTGAGTCTCTGTTCTGTCACTTCCTGACTCTAGGGCTTTGGGTGGACGGAGGAAAGGAGGGCTGGAGGAATAGATATGGGTAGACGGTTGCCTTTGTTGGGTTTGGCGGGGTGGGGTTGGCTGGAAGCTCTGCACGTTCTACTCAGGCTGTGTCCTCCCTTTGATGGAAGGGGATGTCTGGTGACCTACCAAGCCCAGGGCATGTGTTTTCCTGAACCGGTAAATGGGGCAGAGTGGGGGTGGTGAAGATGTCATAAGAATGCATTGACCCCCAAGTGATGTTGGCAGCACGGGCACCTGGGGTCACCAAAACAAGACAGGCGTGTGCCCGTTCATGCCAAAATCCCCTGCCAGTGTGGAAAGCACCAGAATCCTGGGGAATTTTCTAGCATGGATTTTATTTTGCCAACAAAAAAATAATCACAATCACATACAAGAGGCCAGAGGAGGATGCCCAGCACCGAGGTGACCTGGATAAAGAGCTCCTTCCAACCCCTCAGGCCGGCCATGCATGTGACTGCACACCTTGGCCGTCCAGCCCCACTGCCCAGCAGAGGCCCCACCCCCCACATGAGGCCAGCTTTGCCACCCAGGGCAGCACTCGGCACCGGAACAGCCCTCACCGGGAGGCTTCAGCATCCCACCATGGCCTGTGTGTCCATAGACCTCTGGTCCAGAAAAGAGTCTGGGGTGAGAGATGGGAGCTTCATGCTCCTCCTCCACCACATTGAAACAGGACGATCAGGAAGTGTGTATGTGTCTGCTGTTAAATGGATAGGAGGGGCTGCTAGATCGAGTGTACAGTAGAAAGACGATTTTGCAAATCTTCATCCACACACAGAGAAACAGAGACTGAAAGGCCACAGACGGTAGGCCTCCTAACCTGCCCCACCTAGCTGGCCTCCACCAAGCTGCCTCTAAGCCAACTGGCCCCATTAACCCACACACCGCACTCTGGCTGCAGAGCTCCACTGATGCCCACGCATAGCTGGCACCTGCTTCCTGGCACCCTGCCTGCCTGCTCCCAGCTGCATCTGCCCACTGAGGTCAGTAGGTTCACACATCTGCTACAGCCTCTGTGCTTCTAATCACAACTACGGTCACCCCTTGGAACCCAAGGAGGATTGGTTCCAGGACCGCCGAGGAGACCAAAGTCTACCAATGTCCAAGTCCCTCGTATACAATGCTACAGTGTCTGCATAGAACCCAGCCACATCCTCCTGTGTACTTTGAATCTAGAGTACTTATAATACCTAGCGAAATGTGACGTGATATTGCAGGGGAGGGGGTCTTGTGGTGTCAGGCTTGGCAGAGGCAGAAGAAAATCCACGCGAAAGTGGACCCTCGTAGTAAAATACAATATGCCACATTTTTTAGGCATCATAAGTCATCTAGATTTAAGGAATTATAAAGTAATTATAATACTCTGCAAACAGCTGTTAAGCTGTATTTTTTATGTTTCATTTTGTGTTTTTTTTATTGTTGCATTTTTAATTGAATTTTTCCCTTAAATCTTTTTGATCCAAGGTTGGGTGAATACATCGAGTCAGAACCCATGGATAGGGGAAGCTGACCATACGTCACTTAATTTGTTGTGTTAACTGGTACATAAACCCGTAAAATCCAAGTGCAAAAAAGCAGCATTAATTCTACGAAAATGAAGCTGTGTACTTTAGAAAAGGATACTGATAAGTTGCTTCAAAAAAAAAAAAGCTTCCGCCTAGTAAAGGGTGAGGCAGCTGTAAACAACTGTGATGCCCGTTCATATCATTCTAGAAAAGTCCTGAATTCAGACTGTGTCAGGTGTCTGCAAGCTTCCACTTCACCTTAAAGAAACTCAAACTGAAAAAGAGCACGGTCCGCGCTTGGAAGAAGACGTGGGACTCCAGGTGGTGACTTCGTCAAATCAGTGGACCGCTGATCCTCAAACAGCGGGGGTTTGAACTGGAGGGTCTTTCCACTCCTACGTGGGCTTCTTCCGCCTCTGTCACTTGGGAGATGGCAAGGCCAACGCCCACCCCTCCTCTTCCTCAGCCTACACAACATGAAGACGACGAAGACGGAGACCTTTACGATGATCCCCTTCCACTTAATAAATAGTAAATATCTTTCCATTCCTTACGCTTTTCTCTAGCTTACGTTATGGTGTGAATAGTCTACAGCATACAAAATACGTGTGAATTGACTTTGTATGTTATAGACAAGGCTTCCAGTCAACAGAAGGGTATTCGTAGTTAAGTTTTGAGGAAGTCAAAAGTGGTACGTTGGTTTTCCAACTGTAGGGGCTCGGTCCCCTACTCCCCGTGTTGTTTAGGGGTCAACTGCACATTTATGCTATTTGACATTAAAATACAACGTAACCGCGGGCGTGTATCACGATGGTACTCTGCCCACCCCACCCCGCTTTAAATGATTTTTACTTTCTTCTTTGCACTTTTCTGTGTTCTTCACATTCCTTTCCAACAAGCACGCCTCACTTGTATCACCCAAAAGAACAGTGGATATGTCTTTAGCCAGTGTCACCGTGCTGGGAGAACTGCTGTGCTCAGACGTCTTCTGTCACGGTCTGTGCCTTGTCCCTCCCCGGGATAGGATTGGGGTTTCTCAGCCACAGTGTTGTTGGCCTGTTGGGCTGAGTCATCCTTTGTTGAGGGGAGGAGCAGAGGCTGTTCTGTGTTCCTCGTCCCCTGCCTCCACCAACAAGAGGCCAGAAGTGTCCCCTCCAGTTGTGACAAGGGAGTGTCTCCAGATCCCGCCAAACGCCCACGAGGGCAGAATCACTGCAGGCTGAGAACCACTGGTACAGATTTTAAAAACCCCACCTGGGGACCCAGCCTCCGCTCTGCTTCTGCCATGTCCTCGTCACGCTGAACATCAGATGGGTGAAACTTAAAATGCTCTCAACTATCCGTCTGTGCTGGCTTCACAGAACCAAACTTTGCACCACTGGAAAACAGGGCGCATCTACACTCCATCTTCGGATGCTCATCACTGCTTCTGTAGGGCGAGGGCCTGGCTCCGTCACTCCGGAGAAGGCTATTCCCCAAGTGGGTGGAGCCCTGGGCGGGTCCCCTTCCCCTGCAAGGCACCAGGAAACCAGCAGGCCGTCAGCTCCTCGAAGGCAGCTCTCTTCCCAAGCATTCTTTCGGGTTTCTTGGTTCCTAAAAAGACGCTGGCTTTCTCTGAGCCTGTGGGAGCGCTCAAAGTGTCCAGCAGAGGCCAGAAGGCTGAGCAGGGGCTCCCCAGGCTGGATGGGGAGTTGGGGTGGAGTAGATGTTGCAGGCATGCCCTGTGCCCACCCACCTCCAGCCGTGTGCCCTGGGTGAGGCCTTCACAGGGACTCTGACCCCTCTGCTTCCTGTAAAGTGTTAGCTGTTGGTCTCAGGCAGCCTGGCTGGTGTGTTAGTTCCTTTTCACACTGCTATAAAGAAATAGGTATGGGTAATTTATAAAGAAAAAAGATTCGGTGGCTCACACCTGTAATCTCAGCACTTTGGGAGGCCGAAGGGGGCAGATCACAAGGTCAAGAGATGGAGACCATCCTGGCCAACATGATGAAACTCCGTCTCTACTAAAAATACAAAAATTAGCTGGTCATGGTGGCAGGTGCCTGGAGTCCCAGCTACTCGAGAGGCTTACGCAGGAGAATCACTTGAACCCTGGGAGGCAGAGGTT